GGTGTCCGCGCATCACTGACGCATCGCTGGAGTATATAGCCTGTGATCTAAATCAGCTGGAAGAGCTGACGTTGGATAGGTAAGTTTCAAAAACGTTACAGCCGGCTGGTAGGCGTAGGATAGGATGGGGAAATAAAGGAAAAAATCAATGCCCAACGAAAAAATGTCAATGGTTGTTGTGTGCACATACTATAGGAGCATTCGCGTTAATAACTATCAAAAACTATCAGACCAAAATGACAGAAACAAGCAAGTGAGTACAACTTGCTTAGTCTCAAAAGCTACCCATACCGGCTAAAGTCTACACGTGGCCCGAAGAATCTTGCCATCTTGCATCCCAAGGTCTTCGCCCAGCGCTTACTGAGTTGACTAAACGTCCATCTGTCAAGCAGCAGACCACATGGGGTCAAGGAAACTCCCAGCTCTGTCTTGCCAGCTCATCGGACATGCAGTTTCCAGAGATTTCGCTGTGATCTGAAACCCGAATAAACTTCATAACAAAGTAATCCGATGGGGTCGATAAGGAAGTTAAACTCGTTCTCGAACGCACCGTCAAGGAGCCAAGAGCCTTGATAGTTGCTTGGCTGTAAGAATAAATATTCACCTGCTTAAATAAAAGGTGTCACACCAGATAGCAACCAATCCGAAACCTCTTTTGTTACGACCACCTCTGCCTGGAAGACTCTGCGGTGATCCGGATCAGCTCCGATACTGCACCTCTCGAAGTCCACTCGCGCCAAGCATTTTGGCTGTACGGATTGGTGCGGCAATCCACTATGGAGTGCAAGTGTACACATAGATAGGTTTTCATGTCTGTTTCCCTTCCAAGCGGGCATGTGTATGTGATTCCTGGCCACCGCGTAATAGCTTGTGCTAGTCACAGTAGTTTTGTACGGATTCACGAAGCAGAAGCTCCGGGCCAGACCAATGTCACTGCCTAGCTAGCCGTAAGAGGAACCGTTTCTTGCTGGTCATCAGCACAGAATTTGAGTGGTGAGCTGCGGGGTTCAAAATTAAGTTGCACACCCTGGGCAATGTGAGCAACCCATGTGCGGCATACGGTATCCACTGCGTAGAAGCGATGGAGTAATAGTGGGGCCACTACGACGAATTCGAGGTCAATTTTGCCTGCTCACCATGAGGTTCCGCTGTAGGCGAAATTTTAAAGGATTGGGATTTGAGGATATGTGCTGGAGTTCGCTACCAGAAATTGGATTCCAAACGTTGGAGCGTGCCTCTTTTCACATGTGTCACTTGTGCTCGCCGACACTACCCAGCCTATAAATATTTGCCATAAAAACTCCAACGGAGAATTTTCCACTCCTAGTTGCCTCAGTGCACATTTACTTAAAGCTTCATGAATTTTTAAAATAGCTGTAGAAAACAGCAGTACTTGAAGCTGAGCGGCTTTTCGTTGTATGTGACCAGACTTTGAAGCGCGGTCTCTATAGATTTCTTCCAGCAAATGTGCGATATATAGGCATATAAATGAGTACAAATCAGTAAAAATTTTCAATCATCTTTATTTCGTTTTGTATTCCTTTTCGAAGTATATATTTCAAAAATCCCCTCCTCTTTTCCAGGTGCGTGCACATCACCGATATCGGTGTCGGCTACATCTCAACAATGCTCTCACTAACCGCACTCTTTCTGCGCTGGTGCTCACAAGTACGCGACTTTGGTCTACAACACCTATGCTCAATGCGTAATCTACAAGTACTCTCACTAGCCGGCTGTCCACTACTCACCTCCTCAGGCCTGTCAAGTCTCATACAATTGCGTCATTTGCAAGAACTCGAATTGACCAATTGTCCGGGAGCATCACATGAATTGTTCGATTACTTGAAAGAGCATTTGCCACGCTGCTTAATCATTGAATAATACGCTTGCGGAACTACAACGAAGCTGCAAGCTATACAGAGTTTTGTGAAGGGAAAGGCAAAAATTGGAAGACGAACTGTACTCCAACTTAAATGGATGCTAATGAAAATGATGAAAATGATACTTGTGATGTTGATGCTATTGCCAATGGAAACTAGCA